AAGCCACAGTGAACTGGACCAAATTTGCTTTGGGTTTACATGGTAGACTGGAAATTGCTGCCATCGTGCTATGGAATGGCTTCTCAACAACACGTGATACCTGAAACCCCACAACTAAGTTCACAAGATTATAGAGGTACGCCACGGCACGTGACATCCAACGCAGGTTCCTAATGATACAGTATATGCATTCACCTTAGAGCATGAGTGGCGTATCGGACTGCAGCATGTCTCTGGTTGTCAACGATATCGTTTGACACAAACAATAACCAACCTAGTTGCATAAACGATTGTGATTTGTAATCGAAGGGTACACAGTTCATGTTTAGCCAGAGCATCAGTTACCAAGCTGAGGTTTCTCGTGGTTTTCCTCATCCAATCTATGTAAATGCCAGGATAATACCTTGAAAGAGGCCATAAAAATGTCCCCTTCAGGACATGTGGTCATTCTCTCATCTCGTTCAATGTTCTTCAATAGATACAGCGACGTTATATAAACTCCCCAACACACGCACTATTTTTAATCGAATGGTACGAAACCTACGATTTACTGCCTGTGTTGGCCTACTTCGGTATTTCATCAGGCCATTAAACAAAAATCACATCCTTACACGGATTTTACGCCATTGTCAAGACTTGTGTGAATTGTCTGTACTTTCCCAGTAGCAGCACTCTTTCTACCTGTCCGAAATAAGAGCACGCTTTCTTATTTCCTGCTCTGTGCAAAATAGTTCTCGTTTTACGTCGTATTTAACTCATTCTTCGTCAGATTCAACCATGTCGTATACAAGTAATGATAAACATCCTTTTGACGAAATCTGTATAACATCTAAGTGAATGAAAACTTTAACAATTCAGTTTTTAAATGTGGTCTTCGGGGTTGTTACGTCATTGTGTTGCAACGTATGGGAAGAACATGGCTGAAGGGCTACTCGCACATTGGGATAATTGGTTCGAAACCCACTCGGAGCACTGACGTAGTTTCTCGTTTATCTGCGTTATCTTACGTGCGTACAGGCATTTTGATTCAGATTGAAATCTCGCAACAAAATTTTCATGTAAAACTAGGGAGTTGAGCAAATATAAGCTGTCCTTCGCATCATCACATTTATCCTCAGATGAGAAGGCAGATTCAGAATAACATCATCATCATCAAGCCAACGTCTTCTTATTATGCTGTGACCAACAAAAAATATTTTCTTAAACACTGACATGATTCCCTTACGTATGAGAAAGTATGCACAAGTTTTGATTAGCATGTCCACATCCGTACAAAAATACAAAATTGTCTACTGGTTCAGTGCCACCCTTGTCCCTTCCGACTTCCTGCACTCCCACGTAACCTAACTACAGTTTCCTAATTTTCTTGCTATCGTTTTTCAAAAAACCTGGCCTATAGAGACTCTAGACATTTCAAGTTCCAAACGTCAGGTCAATTTTCCGTAGTTTAGCTTTCTCCAAAGTACTCGTCCATGTCTGAGGTCCTGTGTAGCATTTTGTAATATGCTAGTTGTTTACGGTGAGGGATTCTTGGGCCTCCCAGGAGAAGGACCACCCCTTGTCAGCTGTCTGTGACTACTTATTCAATATATTCGCAACTGCCCTCCATATCTGGAGGCCTTCTCCGTCGACAACCTGCAGGAACGCCGTGACGATGAATGGAATCTATTTAACTTGGAAAATATACTCAAACTGGAGTAATACCTTCCTATTTTTATTTGCTGTAATGGTGGGATTACAGCGACAGTGAACCCTGAATACAAATATCAGCATTCTCCCACCTACAGAACTTCATTATCGTACTTAACCCGTAATTTCCCATTCATCACTTACCGTCTGTACAAAAGTCTAGAAGTAACGATGGCCAGACCTGATATACAGGCACATCTGTTTAACAGTGAGTGCGCAAAAAAGCCCAAGGTTATAAGCCTAAAGTACAGGTAACTGGCAGCTGAGTTAGAAGTGTATCATATACCGCTTATGCTGTAAAGAGTCTATATCACGAAGTACGGGGCAGTCATGGAAGTAAGACAAAGCGCATGAAGAACCTCAATGCATGATGAAATTACATTCATATAAGCAAAGAAAATCGGACGTGATGAGCAGTCAGTCATAAAATCATTATATAGATACACAAGATGATCACAGACGAATTTAGAACTTCCAATGTTCTTGTTTGTTCTTCAAGTACCAGTAATAATTCAAATGTAACAGCAAAATTAGTGGTTAGAAATAGCTGGCTTTGCTACGGGGTTTATCTCATAGTAACCACAGCCCACAGACACACACGAACACTGAAATTCCCACGCAATAGAAACTGACAATTATTTAATTTTGTAACAGTCGCGTCGTTTCTTCATAAAGCATCAATAAAAGCCAAAAAGGAAAAAAACACAGAGGCAGACACGGGAGCGGACTATGATTATTTTTTTCCTTATAAAATTAAAATGAGGAAAGTGGGCAAATTCCTAACGTTAGAATCTTCATAAAGATGATTCATGCGGGAATTATGGAAACGTTAAGCAATGGCAATACTAAGAGGTTAGAAATGGCAAGAACAGTCAACTTGTGATCTGACTATCATTATCATTGAGAGACAAATTTTCACAAATATTAATTAAGGGTGTTAAATTCCGATCAAGTGTAAAATCGGTGTTTCTTAGTTGTTTTCAAGAAACATGAAGTACGCGGCTAAGAACGACCACGATATAGGCTGAACATAACATGCATCTACACTCCAAATGAAAAGATATGTTCCAACTAGTTTTGTGGCAAACCACTAATATCATCTAACTATACAAAACACGTTACTTAAGATATTATGAACGGGCCAGCTAAACCACAAAACGTTTTGTAAGTTAATAAATAGTCTTCATCAATTAAATGTTGTGAAGGTACATTAAATTGTGTTAATTGTCAGCCCAAATAACTCAACACTACCGTTTGTATTATAAAACTGCAGAACTAGCTTCATTCGACTCTAAATATTAGTGACTTCTAATGGGGGTGTGGCGAGTAGAGCGACGGGAATTCGGTGGCCGTTATCCTGTTATTCCCCCATTGCACACTCTGGGTCAGTAGTATCATTAGTCTAGCAGATGGCATGAACACATGCATTGTGAGTAGTGGACCGGTAAACATCACAAATTAAGAAATACAGCAAATATTATAACTACTGCTGAGTAGTACATTTCAATTTAGAAAGTTCTCTAATTACGTAAAAATTAATCTCTCTTCAGGACTTACCCTAATTATGGCGAAGTTTTCCTTCGTTATTTTCAAATCATCTTTATTCTTCGTAGGTGTCAATTTGTCGGGCGTATTCATTGCTGGAACATTGTTAACCTCGTGTCTCATCTCATCGTAAAAGTTTCGTAAAAATAATACGGAAGTACAAAACTCACACACTTTACACTAACTAGACACATTCACTACGAATCAAAGAAACGCCTATCTTACTTCTTAATAGTGTACACTCGTGCCG